CATTGACAATAACGGTAAAATACACAGAGCATTTCTCGACCTTTCACCTTATCTCGGCTCTACTTACAGGATATAATTCCAAGTAAAATATTTTTTCAATAGCTCACATAGCAGAAGGGTCCGCCTTGGACCATGACACTAAGGGCTTCGTTTGTATAGAATTGGATGGGCGTGGGGCCCAACCATCTTCTCCAAATGACGGGTAGTATAGATGATAATTTGTCACCAGTTTTTATTATTGGACACCACTATAAATCTGTGAGATGAACCGAATGAGCCGGGTCCAACGATACCAAGTAACTGGAAACATTGTGTCAAGACTTCAGGGGAGCTTGGGAATAGGATTTTTGCAGAGGAGAAAACTAAAACACCTGCACCACTCTACACTGTGATGTTGCCGAAGGAGTAGAGCTGACCGTCACTAACGGGTCTGCCAGTCCGGGGCGCGTGCCCGAGTTATTTGTAATTTGAATGAACCTGATCGGCGGAGCTGTGTTCAAGTGTTGTACATGTTCCTGTGAGAGCTCTATTTCAGATTCTTTTGCGAAATGAGATAATTAATCCGGAATCAATAAGTTTGAACTATGGCCTGCTTCCACCTAAAGCAGACGATTCGAGAGTTAAAGAAGTAGATATAATTTTTCAAAACTAGGCCGCCGTCTCCTGGTACTAAGAGGGAAGCGATTTACCGTCGTTCACCCCAGAGCATGTAAGATTTCGAGAAAAGGCTGAAACGCCAGCCAGAAAGATTTTGACTTGTCCAAGAGATGCCCGAAACTTCGAAACTCTTCCTTCTGTGCACCAGGCGATGGCCTAGGTCAGCGGACACTCATGATTGTCCAGGGGTCTTCTTCCGAATGGTTCTTAAATATAATAGATTTCGAAGATGGTCTGAAATGTTTTGATACCAGGAGACTTGCGAATGACCGCTGTAAGCGCAAGCGAAATCAGAAGATGGAATCGAGGAACGTGACCACTTTTGTATTGCGTGAAATCGTACAAGCACAAGTGCGCGTTTTGGTAGCTTTCCGTATTCAAACAAAAAGGGTATGCAGTTGACATAATACGCAATGTTATAATGGAAGAAAAAGGAAGACACCAAACAACACATTTTCGCCCCCACTGAGCAAGTTTAGGGAAACAGGTTTCACCGTTGACCCCGCAAACACACGGCAGGCACATGGGGGAAGATTTTCAAGCTCAGAGCGCACGTTATTTCGGGCAATTTTTTCTCATTTCAGGCAGTTGTTGCGTGGAATAACCTTCCTCCGACGGTTGTCCTTGCTCCATCTAGAACCCATTTCAAAGAAATATTAAGCAATTGTTTGTGCGAGTCCTTGGGCTTTAAAAATTACTGCCACGTATAGGGAACATAAAGAGAAGTGCTACACCCTTTTGCGTTTGCACCATTCGGACGAACGGCAGCCACTGACTGACAGGAAAGAAACCGACTCAGAAAACTTGTGCAAAAGCCGCCGCCGGCTATTCACACAATGAGATTGATTTCTCGAAATCTACGGCATTTTCGGACTTGCCACTTCATAGTGTAGAATGTCTATGTATAATGTATATGCTCCTGTATTGTTGAAAATCCTTTACTATGACGATTTGTTTGAGTGAACGAAATCTCCGGGTCAATAAACACCGCCGACTGTGAATACGTTACCTGATGATAAAAAATCACGAATCGTGGAAAAGGTTGACTCACGTACAATGAGCGTAACTTTCAGGCATTTTTCAACCGGAACAGATTTCCTCAACATTCCAGAATCTCAATGGCCTTTGGGGATGCAAAATATGCGTGGGCGCATTCGTGCAAACAAATTTTGGTCGATGATTCATTGTTGCCAGTAAAAATTCCTTAGTGCACGCTAATTATTCGCTAAACATCACGCACGTTTGCCGGCAAAAACCACAGTCGTTCATTATAGGCTGCGAATTATGCTAGAAAGACCTCGAGGTTTATCGATGTTAACCGACGCACACCACTAACATGCGGCTAGCACGCACGTTTGCCGGCAAAAACCACAGTCGTTCATTATAGGCTGCGAATTATGCTAGAAAGACCTCGAGGTTTATCGATGTTAACCGACGCACACCACTAACATGCGGCTAGGTGTACGCGGTGACTAACTAACTAGTCACATTGAGCCTACGTCGATAATACCAGACAGCTGAACGATCTTAACCGACGTACCCAATAAAATTTCCCCCAGATTTGGCTAGCCTGGATTTCCTGCTGTAGTTTCGACTTGCCTGTTGCACAAGTTCAAGTCCGTATACCGAGTTCAGGTCGCCCTATTTATTAGCAACTTGCCCCATCCAACCTATTCCCCTGCACCTGACATCTCTGCAGCAGTGCTACCAGTGAATCTGCTTGCCTTCAGATTAAACCATATTTTTGAGACAAAACTTGACACGTGCCCCCTATTTGAATTATCCCATCTCCATCTCCACATTTGCTCGTTGTGACTCCGGCCATTTACCTGACCGCCCAGTGTGGCTCATGGCCAGCAGCGGTTTTCAATTTTAGTTCATGCCACCTGACTGTCTTTGATCTAGTCGAACGTCGTGCCCATTTTCCTCAAAAAGTTGGGAAATGACCTATTATTGCCGTATCATCGGGTGTTCCCCACTGTTTGTGACATTGTCCTGTTTTTGCGCAATCCGCACCCCCACAAAGCCCTCAGTCATGCTCCATTCTGACTGTAAAATTATGTTCATGCCAGACGGTATGCCACCCACAAGTTGAGAAAAAACATTGATATTATTATTATTATTATTATTATTATTATTATTATTATTATTATTATTATTATTATTATTATTATTATTATTATTATTATTATTATTATTATTATTATTATTATTATTATTATTATTATTATTATTATTATTATTATTATTATTATTATTATTATTATTATTATTATTATTATTATTATTATTATTATTATTATTATTATTATTATTATTATTATTATTATTATTATTATTATTATTATTATTATTATTATTATTATTATTATTATTATTATTATTATTATTATTATTATTATTATTATTATTATTATTATTATTATTATTATTATTATTATTATTATTATTATTATTATTATTATTATTATTATTATTATTATTATTATTATTATTATTATTATTATTATTATTATTATTATTATTATTATTATTATTATTATTATTATTATTATTATTATTATTATTATTATTATTATTATTATTATTATTATTAAATACGAGACTTACATGTAATGCATAGAACCTCATTAGCAGATCAACTTTTCGGAGCCGATGTGTCACATGAAATCATCTTCGTCTCCTTCATCTCGCTGGCGCTCTGCAGAGTTAGTCGTAGTTGTCAGTCATTGACTCACGGCTGTCGAGTAGTTCCTCTGTGGACCCGAAAACACGGACGCACACAGACTTACGGGACACACCGTGCTGGGAATCTGTGCTTCGGTCT